GGCTGCTCTGGCTACCAATGTCTGAGGGCAAAGGATTATCGAGCCCAGCATGAAGGTGCTGTCCTGAGCGTGAACTAGAGCAGGGGATCCAACCGAGGGACCAGGTGCTGTTTGAGCCACTTGTGGGGATTATTTTGCAAGGGGGTTAAGTTACTCTCCCTAATAATCATCGGTACTTGGGCTTTATCTTTTGTTGGGGTGGGGAGAGGCAACTGAACTGTGAGGAGGGAGCAGGTCTAAACGTCATGTGAGTTAACTTGTCAGCTGTCTTAATGCTCCTAACTACAATGTGCTCAGCTGTGGGGAAACAGCCAGTCTCTGCATCCTCCCCATCCTTGTATTTTATGTATGTCTACATAATAAAGATGGTTTGGAGACACTAGTGGTGGCTTTGCAATGGAGCCCTAGGCTTAAAGGAATCCACGAGGGTGCTGGTAAAGAACAGAAGATAGGCACTGGTGGGAAAGGATATGAAGTGGATCCCACTCTGCTGCTTGTGCCTCTCCCCCCATTGCAGAAGAGACAAACTTCTCCAAATCATATTTTAATTTAACAAAAGTGTTAAGAAAGAGATACACAATCATCTTAAAAACCTCCGTGCTCTGAGGATAAAGGAGATGAATGGTGAAGACACCCACCATCAAACACTCGCATGACAATACAGGTCAGGAAGAATGATTGATTGTCCTTTTTTCCCTTGCAAAACATTTAAGCACTGTAAGGCAGGTCTTTCCCACAGCCTATGTGCTTCCAGCCAGGCTGCTTCCCAAACCTCCCCTAGCCCAGAGAGGCTGCAGATGCATATCGAAGGGAGCTCAGGGCAGGGAGGGAACATGCCTACACCTTGATTTCTGGCTCCTCAGTCCTGAAGGGAGTTAGGCAGCCCTGATGGCAGAGCAGCAGTAGCCACACAAACTCAGGGGAGCAAAGAACAGAGCAAGGTGAGGCCGTGGCTCATGGACCTACAGGCAGGTCTCCTTGTGCATAGCTGCTCTGCTGCGTCCTGTGTATGCTGAGCTCAAAGCAGCAGCTGCAGCAGGGAACCTAGACTTTCAAGGTACAGGTTGGATCTCTGTGGTCCAGCACCCTCGAGATCTGACTGGTCCCGAACAAGGGAATTTGCCACACTAGGGGAGGGCCCCTACCAACTCTGCTTCCACCCCAACAAGCCCCCCTCTGCCTTCAGCTAACTGTGCTGTTGCCCCTGGCTGGACCCCTCTGCTCTGGGACACTCCATGCCACCAGAGCCCCACTGCTGCAGGGCTTCCGGCCCACCTCTGGCTTCCCTGCTCCTGGGCTCTCTGGTTCAAGAACATCTGTGGTCCTGCCAGCCCAGAGTCCCAGTTTAGGGGGGTACAGCTTGTAAGGGGAAGGAGTTGCCAGTGGACGAGGAGCAAGCTCAGGAGACTGGCAGCCCAGCAGTAGACAAACTCCCCCTTAAATGTGAAGAGTCAGCATGGACCAGCTCAAATATTCAGCCATAAGCAGCAAGGTGGCTGCTGCCCTAGCAGCCCTGAGCATCTAGGCTGGGACAGTGCAATGCTGCAGTTGCCTCATTTTGTGCCCCATACAATTTCAGCTAGCACATTACTGGGTGAAGGGATTCCCTGCTGGAATCTTTCCAAGGTCCCTTACTACACATATTGGGATCAGCCAAAGTGTCCCTTGTAGCGGAGAACTACAGTGCAGATCCCAGCAGCCCTGGGACTCCTTGGGCGAGAGCTCAAGGTGGATATCCATTGGGAAGAGCATCCAGCTGAGCAGAGATTACAGAGACTGAGATGGCTCAGCATGGAAAAGAGATGGCTGGAGGGTGGAGGAAGGGGTATGACAGAGGTCTATAAAGTCATGAAGAAAGTGACACTTACTCCCTCACATAACCCACTCAGGCCTCACCCGATGCAATTAAGAGGCAGCCTGTTTAAAACAAACTGGATCTTAATGGATCACAGTTAACCTGTGGAACTCATTGCTGGGGAGTATGTGAAGGCCAAAAAGTATAACTGGATTAAAAAAAACCCTAGATAATTTCAGGGAGGACAGGACCATCAATGGCTATTAGCCAAGATGGTTGGGGACACAACCCCCCTGCTCTGGGTATCCTTAAACCTCTGACTGCAAGAAGCTGGAACTGGGCCAGAGGCTGGATCTCTCAATGATTGCCCTGCTGTTTGTTCACTCCCTCTGAAGCATCTAGCACCAGCCCCCATCCAAAGGAAGAGCCATTGGTCTGACCCACTAGGGCCATTCTTAGGATTAGCTCCCTGCCTGCTAACTGATCAGTTGGGTGCACCGCAGGATTACACAGCTTTACATCATCCATTGGGCCTCAGTGACTGAGTGGCCACAAGTTAAAATACTGCTTCCTCCTCCCACCAGCTTCACTCAAGGGAACTGAACTCAGGTAAGAGGGGACAGGTGAGCCTGCAGCCCCGGACAAGCCCTGGCAGAGAGACTCCAAGCTGGGACATGGACACCCATCTGCAAGGAACCCACTTAAGTCCCTCGATGCGTGTCACAAAAGGCCCCCCCCCCACCCATG